GTCCAATAAAGAGGTCTTGGTGCTTTACACCAATAACAGAATGCATTTATCTTAGAGTTTAATCGCCATGTACACGTCAGACATATTCCATCCTCAACCCTAATTAAATAATACTTTTTTTCGCTCGCATCGTATGTAAACCCAATGGTAATCCAAATGTCTGTGGCAAGGATATCTTGACGCTCGGCACATAACTAGTGGAAATAATACGTTATATTAGGTCAACAATGATTCAATAAACATAATCACAATTGAATAGTTTACCTTGTCATAATATGAACCATCTGTCTTGCGGGTTATCTTAAGTGGAATCAATTTACCATTATGAGCAGGTAAACTATATAAGTGTGCATAGTCTCCCCGTTCAATACAATCAAATGGAATCCATTCCAAATAGGCTTCGTTTGCCGACTTTGTTTGCATCTGAGATTTCTTAATAAGCTCGTCAAGTTGCTTATTGTTACTAGTCCATCCATCGGATAATTCTTTGTGTCCACAAATGCACCACACAGGGCTACATCGAAGGATTCCGCATGCTGAGCAGAACCCATACCGAGAATAGCAATGGTAAAAAATTTTGTTCGCAACCATGTAATAGGTATTATCATGTATGGTAAATCCGATTATGAGTTCGTTGCGACTCTTGAGCCATTTACTATATCGTGCAAATTGACTGACATCATTGTCCTTGTGTGTCGTAAGTGAGTATTCTCTAGCAAACTCGCTCATAAACGTCGGTGTACATGTTTCATGGCTTCCAATTGAGCGCAACATTATCATCGTTTCATTAACACTGCCATCATCACAAGTTTTCTTGCGAATAGCGTAATGAACAGTATCGATTTGACTTGACTCTATTTCGGTAATTTGTTCGTAAGGAATCCATTCAAGGTTATCACTAGTTGCGATCAAGTCGTCAATGACTGGATGCTGAATATGCTCAACTAACGACATAGTCTTGAACAAAGTTTTTTCTACCGACCAGTTATTGTGTTACGCACATTTCCCTAAGTGCAACCCCTTAACGCTAGGTCCCATGATGGGACCTATAGATTTAGTTACACGTCCTTGCTCTATAGTTTTTGCATTGTATTGCACCTCCCTAAATGCACGTCATATGATTAGATCTTTATACGAACGATAATTTCACGTTTCAATATGACATTGCAATATATCCTGACATCGCCAATATAAATAGAATAACTTTAATAATGAACAGAAAGTTACATTAAGTACATACAAAAATAAGAAACCAAACACTAGTAATGCCGACCTTACCTAGTGGATAAAACAATCATATAACCTTGTTGTCCATCCCAGTACTATTAATCGCATACTCAAGCGAAAAGTAGATGAATGGTTCTGTAAAGAGATCGATATCCAGAATTGGAGAATGCATTACTAGAATGGATCCTTCGAAGCCAAGACAAATAATAATATTTGTTTAGAAAAGCAAAGGTTTTTGCTCAAATGTTGAATATTCCCTGTTAGCAACTTTAAATTCTCCAATGGTTGGTTATTTAATTAAACGAAGAACAAATAAAAAAGCATGCTGAGGATGCTTCTGCAGCTACTGCTGTTGCAGTCACTCAATTAAGAGAGTTGTTGAAAGACTATGATTTAAAAGACATTTATAATATGGATGAAACGAGTTTATTTACCGGTATGCATGTAATTAAATTATGATGATAGTATATTGCAGCCATTAATTTTGTTCTTATCTTAAGTTTTGAACCCTAACAATAACTCGTCTCAAAGAAAGAGAAAGATAAGGAACGACTAACATTGGCGCTATGTGCCAATGGCTATTGGTAAGTATGCGAAGCCGCTTCAAACATACAACTCCTAAGGCGTGACTGGTCGCAATTCTCCTATTAGACAATGCACCGAGTCATGTCACAACAATCAAAATCTTTATAACACAACTGTATGTCTTCTCCCCCTAATATTACTAATACAACTTCCCGCATTCGGCTATGGACGCTTGTGTTATTATGTCATTATCGGAGCACTCCGAAATGGTTACTTAAACAATATGAATCTGGTGATGAACATAAAAATTGGATGTTCTTACTGCTGCACAGTTTGTCACTTGTGCATGGAATAAAGTATCACCGAACCGAGAACAATATATAATTGCTTTCAACACACAGAAATACTTCCGATCGTGAATCTTAACGAGGAACTCGATATCAATGATGACGACTTAATCGAGGAGTTATGCACCGATGTTAAAGGATTTCACTTACGGAATGAAACGGATGTCAATGAATATATCAATTATTCAGAAGAGAATGAGACAGAGGAAATACCAACTGATCAGGAAATCGTTGTTTATGAGTACAGCTAGTACATAGTCTATCGATTACAGGTCGATAATTTTGTTTAGGATAGTTTTATTACCTCTCCCCCTTTTTTTACACATTAGTATAGTATATTAAGTATAGTAGTTATATCAGACGATGGACAACGATTAGTACTCCTTGATTGTTCGGACATTGATTATGCATTAGAGTTATAGCATAAAACTCGCAATATTATTGGCTAGCTTCACATCGTGACATCCCTAAGTTTCTGCTTAACCAATACCTTTCGTTTATGCGTGTAGCATCAGTTTACATTAACACTAATAGCCAACACTACCAAAATTATAACGTTTCTTTGTTTGGACAAATCTCCAGTAGCGGTCGGTTGGTATAATTTTGGAGTAGGTGAGCGATATATCTTTTCGTAGGTCGTTAAAATACCACATTTTTCTTACCTCCCTCTGATAAACATTCGTAAGTTAAGGTATACCGTAACAATAACAGCAGTAACCCTTGTGCCTACTACCAAGAATAGAATAACTATGTTTAACCAACGTCCTTTCTGATGTTACTAACACGGAATGCTCCCTGTCATTGATAATATCCTTGTCAACAGTGATAATATTATCATTTTTATATAATTGTCGTGGTTAATAAACATTTTGCTTTATTTAGAAAATGTCGTTATAATGTATAGTTATAGCATTCTCGCTGTTGTTATGATCGATGATAGAAGAAACAAATGGAAAGTATCGGCTAGGATTTGCCTCTGGGATTTGAATGTTACTTATGGATGCAATGACTTGAATTTAGTGGAAACAGCCGAGTTTCCTGAGTTGGATAGCATACCTTTAACGACAAGCAACGTTGAGAGAGGCAGCAAGAGCCCAGCAGTCGGATATGGTGTGCTTGCAAAGATGCATACACTGGATAGCCTATGTGGTTGAAAAGCAAAACAGAAGTGTGACAGTTGATGCCACAAAATTAGCGTTAGTTGTAAGGTGTGTACTTTAATACTATTGGGCGCTTGACCTATCTCCCTATACTAATACGTAATAATTTTACTCGTTCCAAATCAGAATACTAACCTAACGATTAATAAACAACAAAAACGTAGAAGAGAAATTTAATTTTTAATTTAGTTCGGGGCTAACTTAATTTGGTGGTGGTTTGACGAGTCAATTTCCCGTTATCGTTTTTATGAATCCGGGTTGTATCAATCGATTGATGTTTTTCGCTACTAGCTTAATTAATTACTAATATCTTGCAAACATTTTCGCTCTATTCAATAGTCCGACTCTTAGAGCTGCAGCAATAAACATAATTTCAATTTTAAAAGTTTTTAATCGTGAAACTCGCAATTATCTAATGAACATAAATTTATCACCATGGTTTGATAATGGAATTTGGCCAAAAAATACGCTTATTATTTTGGAGCAAAGTGAAACGGAAACACTCTTATTGATGCTAAAGCCTCACTGCACATATCATTATCCAATTGAGTGATCGTTGAAACAGACGGTAATAAGCTAAGACATTGTATTTGCATAAAAAGCACAAAATTTATTTTCAAACTTCTTTAGTTAACTGTCATCAATAATGTTTATAAATACTCTTTCGTCGAGCAATTACAACTTTGTCAGTATGTCAAATTCAAGACACATCGATTTCATCCATATTACTTACCAGAACAATATTTACGCATTGACAATAACCAATCTTGAACATTTCACAAATAACTTCAACGCAGATACATTTTCCCAACTGATGTTGAACGTTACTTCAACACTGTTGTTGCCAATTCCTCAACTATTGAGTATTGATCCGTCGATCAATCTAACTCTTGATTCACCTGTAGCTCCAATTAGATTATGATAGACATTCAAAAAAGTCAGAGAGGAATTTGATTCTAGAGCCTTTGCCAAAGTTGTTGCTCCTGTATCTCCAATCATATTCTTTCGAAGATTCAAAGAAGTCAATGAAGTATTTGATTTTAAAGCATTTGCCAAGGCTGTTGCTCCTGTAGCTCCAATGTGATTATGATGGAGATTCAAAGAAATCAGAGAAGTATTTGATTCTAATGCTTTTGCCAAAGCTGATGCTCCTGCATCTCCAATCATATTCTTTTGAAGATTCAAAGAAGTCAATGAGGTATTTAATTTTAAAGCATTTGCCAAGGCTGTTGCTCCTCTATCTCCAATTTGATAATATTCCACATTTGATGAATTCTCAAATATTCTTCCTATTGTCTCTGATGCAAATGTGTTGTTTGGTTCAATCTTCAATAATCTGTCAAGATTTCTTAATGTATCAATATGCTGATTAAGCATATAATAGGTGTCTGCTATTAGTCTCAATGTTAATGCATTATTTGGTTCATATTCCAAAGATGTACTAAAACATTTCAAAGCATTTTCATATTGATCAAGCATCAAATATTCAGCTCCGCCATATCTCAATTCAAGTGCATCAGTCTCTGAAAACTTAACATTAACCTGGGACATTGTATAGGACTTGTTGACTGATATGATACTTATTGTGATGATTTCTGCGGTATATCGATGTAGGGTAATACAGAATGATGATCATTTGTAAATACAGTCATCCCTCGTTTATAACCCCCTATTGTAACCCACCCTCGGATATATCCCAGACTTGGGGCTGGTCCGATTTCCTCTATTATATCTCAGTATAAATTTCCTCCCAATCGATATATCTCTATCCCCAAATTTTCACAGAACCCAATTTTCCCATATCATATAGAAATATACTTCGGTTATATCCCCTCGGCAAATTTACCTTACTATATATGTCAATTGTATTACATAAATATCATGCTATTTCTATATATAATCAGTCTACCTCTTTCTGGTTAGTAGATTATGGGTTAATAAGTGCAAATGTGCCTACAGAAGAGGAAATTTTTGAAGAACTTCTAGTGGCTGAAGTTGTGTCGCAGCAGACACAAGTGCAAATAGAAGACTCAATCGAAGAGGAGGAAGAGCCAATTTCTATACAATTAGGAAGACAAGCACTTGAGACAGCTAAAAATAAAGGGAATTTACGACT